CCTTTCCAACACATCCCAACGGTGCTCTATGGGATTGGGATCCTGTGACTGTAGTGGCGACTTTAACATAGAAAACTCATTGTTGTGTCCCATGTACTAATCTTCTATTATTTTTGATTTGATATGGTGTGTTGTTCTGCTGAAAGTGGCCACCAGAGGATAGGTGCATCGCCGTCACAAATTAAGGAACTAGGTCAGATACAGTACCTATGTAGACTACGTCATTTAAACGATCTTTAATTGGCAAAAACACACTCCCCATACAATTACACCACCACTATGACCCTTAACCACTGATACAAGACAGGATGAATGCATACTTTCACGTTGTTTAAGTCAAATTTTGGCTCTACCATCTGAATGTCATTGCAGAAATCGAAACTTATCAGCCCAATGTTTTCTTCCAATCTTCCATTGTCCAATTCGTCTCAGTTTCTATACTTATCTGACAGAAGTTGCACCCGGCCTGGTCTTCTGCTTCTTTAGCCTGTCTGCTGCAAGATTCAACATGTACCGTTCACAGATGCGCTTCTCCATTGTAAAGAGTAATTATTTGAGCTAATGTTGCCTTTCTATTAGCTTGAACCATTTTGGTTATCCCCCCTCCGACTTTTTTATATCAACAAGGGATTGATAAAAAGTGAACGAAGAAATTAGAAATTTCAATTGTTTCTTCTAAGTACAAATGTCATTTTCGTTCCCATTTTCCTTTGAACTTCCTCGTTGTTCACATGATCTGACCATGGTATTATCAGCATCCTTCTGTAAAGGCATATTTCTATTGCTTCAAGTTTCCTTTTCATCTGTGAAGAAATTGCTCAGCATTCACTGTCATATAGGAGAATTACAGTTGATCCCTCTTTTTTTTCTCCAATGAAGTTTTCCCGTTTCTTAATATTTTGTTTAGTTTTTAGAAAGCATTTTTGCTATTCTAACTTGCCTTCGGATTTCTATCATTTGTTATTAAATTAGTATATTTCTTACTGAATACTTCTTACTGAATATTTTATCAACCGTTACGCAACTGACAAACTTTGCTCTCCTGGGAGGTTAATTATTAAGTTGAGTTTTAAATAATTTTCGTTTTTGCTTATCAACTTTATTCTTCAAAAAGTAAAGTATAATTTAATTTTATTTGATTATATATTCACCTTTATTTGCAATGATGTTTTGTTACAGATCAGGCAGCTCTTCAATATATTTCTAGTAATATTCTGCAAGTTTTGGTGTAAAACCATTCTCATGGACATTTGAATCTGGAGAAAGTGATTTTTAGTGTTCGAAAAAGAGTACTATTCGGTTGGTTCAGTTGAATATGACGGATGGGTTAGAACAAAATCATTTTCTGTGTTATTCTAGCTGTATTCAGATTTGCGTAATCATTTTCTTTTTGACGCGCGCAAGGCGCTTTTTTACAAAACCTTTAAGGACACGTTGCAGCTACCAAACCTATAAATGTGCATTTAATGTTTCATTGCGTTTTAAGAACTCTAAATGGATAATACCCCGACGATCACAACACACGCACAACATTACCTTTCTTCCATGGAGTTCAGCTTTTGGTGTTGGATGTGGAGATTTATCCTTGTCAGTCTACTGCTTTTTTCCTGTTGAACATTGTCGTATTTAATCCACTTTTCATCACCTATCATGATATATTTAAGAAACTGGCTATCAAATTCTTCAGATCTCAGTCCTATTGAGTTCTTATGGAATGGTTAAACCAAGAAATCCGTTCTAGTACCTCCACCACGTAACTTAAAATTCCTTTCTTCCATGGAAATACGCTTCTGTGGTTTTTTGTGAAGATTTATCCTTGTTAATCCACTTTTATGTTGCTTTTTACTTCGAACATTGTATTATGTAATCGATTATTTATCACCTGTTACGTTTTGTTTAAGGAACAGTTGGTTAGAATGACTCATCTTAATATTTACTGATCTACAAAGGCAGAATGTGGCGCAAAATCAGCGAATTACACCTTTTCTTATGTGAGGGGTAACTTAAAATCAGAAATTTACATCTTTCTCCGTGTAAGGGACTTTAATCAAAGAAGTATAGTGGTAATGTGTCGAAGAAAACATGGCGCTTACCAACAGTTTCTGTGAATAGCAGTTTTAATTAATTCAATGTGGACCGCTAGCCTCCAAACTTTCGGTTACACCTAAGTTCAATAAACACGTCTTTTTTTGTTGTTTGTGTTGTTTCTTTGAAGAAAATTTCCTTTAGGAAACTAACGCCCTCTCTCGACGGGACTGGCGTCGCGGCATTTCTTTTCTTTTTCAGTAACACCAACAAGACAGAGTATTTTTGCACGATCTTTCTAATTCCCTTTCACTCCGTGTTCTGAGACGCTAAGACTATTTTCAAATGAAATATTTATAGAGATCCATCCAAGAATTCCCTTCATCGGATATCGCTGAAATGTATTTATGTTGTTCGCTTATGCAAACTTTCTGAGATCAGCTCTTATTTTCTTTTCATATATTTGGCTTCTTGGAAAATGGGCCATACTATGGCGCAATAACAGTTGGTAAGCAAAAGGAAACACAAACCCTGGCGAATTATCGTTGTGGCTGGTGTGTGTAGCATAAATCTTCAATTGAAAGACTGCCTACACCTACGTCTGTAAACTACGGCAATGGTTGGGAAAACTGAGGCAAGGGATGAAGAAAAAGAAAGAAAAAAAAGTAAAGATACTAGTTGGACTTTTATAAATTTGATGGGTTTATTGAAACAGGTGTAGAGAGTGAGTAAAATTTATTGAAAGAATATACATAACATATGGCTTTGTGTAATTGCTTTTGCATATTGTTAGATGCGCAAAGCGTACCTCATTGCTCGCGCAATTTCTCTCTCTTTATCTATCTATCTATTTGCAAATATTCTGTATTTATATATTTATGCACAAATATATATATGCCTAGGTCTGTATATGCACATGTGTAGATATATGCGCATGTGTGTGCGTACATGCACAAACACACATGGCTTCAAATCTATGGCAGCACATATCTCTTTCTAAATATATATGCAGAATTTGTATATTTGTGTCTATACATATATGTTCGCACATATCTCTATAAATATACTCATATATATGTTTATATATAAATATATATATATTTATATATATATATATATATATAGAAATTCTATATTTATATATTTATACATATATATTATATATATATATATATATATATATATATATATATATATATATATATATTTATATATATACATATATACAGATTTTTATAATTACGCACACATGCAGTTATACTTATAGTCATACACGCACACACACACACACATATATAGAAACATAGATTCTGCATGTGTGTGTGCGTGTGTGTTTACGAAACTTGAGAACCATCTATCAACACACATACACACACAAATCTCTTTGATAAGATTCACTTGGAAACAATAGATGAGTTGTATTTAAATTCGTCCAGAAACCAAAAAATGGTCTGATCCTTTAAAAATGAAATGAAAAAATATTGAACCATAAAATGTTCACTGGATTTCAATCAACCTTACATTACTGAAATGCTGCTGCACGAATACACACAAATACAATTTGTGTGTGTGTGTGTGTGGTGCTGAAAACTTCTGAGCCTGACCCACTTCCCAAGATCAGACCAAAATTAAGAAGCATGAGGATTGGGGGGGTTGAGAACTTTTCAGCGCTCTATCATATCATTACAGAGAATCTGTATCAAGCAAAAACTGTGGACACTTCTTTTACTCCTTCGCCACCAAAATGCAGAAACTGATCTGCCAACAAGAAAAAAAACATATTAAAAATATTAGACACATAACTTGTCTGTTATCTTTAACAAAATTTGTCTGAATGAACATTTGCAACCGAGATACACTCCAGTATATATTTGTATGCACATGCAGATATTCTGTATTCTCTACATTAGTAAATATATATGTGTGTGTGTGTGTTTCTGAATACATACTTGTATGTATTCGTATATTTTTATATGCATAATTATATTAAATGAACCTGAATAGATGACTGCCGTTGACAGTGTGCTCGATCTTTGCGGCGAGCTCTCAGATTGTGATCTTTTGTTAGATGAAGTGAAGATGTGCAAATATCTACTAAGTGCGCCTGTTGTTGTGCGATAACTAACAAGCTAGTCACTCAAATCATTAACTTATACTGTATTGTATAGCTGAGTATGAATGTCTGCTAGAGTGGGTAACTAATCCTTGTTGCAGACATCTGCTCAGTCACATTTGTGTTTCTTTAATGTCCACAGAGTTAACCTGTGTTTCATACTGCAAGTATACTGAACAGAACTTAGTTTTAGTTTCTGGAAGAGAGCACATAATCTGGCGCGATCACTTGTTTGAACAAGGGCAGTATTCTCAAACCGTCGCTCACAATGACGTGGGACTTTATGCTAACACAATCATAGACGGTTTTCGAACAGTCCCGTTTACCCAATTTTCTTCACTGGTTCCTCTAACACTGTGACGTTTGTATCATTTAAGATAACATGTGTTCTTTCCTGGAGGTTTCTGACCCGCGGACTAAAACAGGTTTTAGTATTAAACAACAGATATATCATATCTGAGACATGCAAAGCGAATAAATATCATTTTTCAAGAATATCATTTCTATCACCCCCAAAATTACAACAATGTTAAGACACAACAGCTGGCGAAATTATAGAACGACTCGCCAAAAATATAATTGAAATACACGCGACCTGTCGGGAAAGTATCTAACTAGTCTACTTTATCACCAGTTGTCTTTCTTTCTTTCTTTCTTTCTCTTTCTTTAAAGTTCTTTTGTTGCACGTAGGCTTTCCCAATGAGTGTTCATTGGGGCGCATATGACACGTTTGGGCGATAATGTCTCTTTTCAACTCATGGTATTTGCGTCAGTGAATGTAACGAACCCGACTGGAATTCGAACTCAATTCTCCGATTTCTCATTCTGAGCTGTTAGCCATTAAGTCATGCACACATACAAGCTTACAGCATCTAGTATTCCCAAACGAGCACTCATCCAGGTATTGACTAGGCTCGACGTTGCTTAACTTCAGTGATCGGACGAGAATTAGTGTTTCACACGTGATATGACAGTAAGTCTCACTGAAGTGTGTAATGGATAACGGCTTCGAATGTGTAATCAGAGAGCCGACTTCAAGTTCCAGTCGAGTCCGTTAGATCCATTTACGTCCAAATAGCATATGGCTTAAACAGCAGGACAGACTGGGTTTTATAGTCTTGGTTGGCAACCAGTCTACTACAGAAAGTAACGGTAGCCTACAGTGTTAATTTTTCTGCCAAGTCAATCATGAATCGAAAAAAGACATAATCACTCAGGCGTGTATCACGCATGGCCCATAAGGATGGAATGCTCTCTGTAGAAAATGTCCAAGTTTTGGAGAGTAAAGTTAGTAATTAAGATGAATCGTGCTATAGCAGTGTAACTTTTGTGTTTAAATCTTTGCCCAGTTAGAATACTCCGAGTGCACCCATTGTAGAGAAGATCACACACCTACAAAGGACTCCTGTCTAAACCTAGATCAATCTTTACCTTTTAACTCAAACATATACCGGACAAAATAAAACATTATTTACATTTTGGTTCAACTCTAATTTCGAACAATGTGTTTTTCTTACTCAAGTCTAATTCGGACCATGGTTTATCTTTTGGCACAAGTCTAATCCGGACCAATGTTAACCTTTTGATTAAAGTCGTATTTGGAACAATGTTTAACTGTTTCGCTCATGTTTAAACTAGAACAATGTTTTCTTTTAGACTCAAATATAAATCGGAACAATGTTTACCTTTTGACGCAAGTTTAAATTGTATCAATGTGTAAACTCAAATATAAACAACCAGTGTTCACTCTTTGATCAATGTGTAAGGTCAAATCGAAACAGAACCCGTGTTTACTCTTTGATTCAACTGCAAACTAGACCAGTGTTTACCTCTTGACTCAGAGTTTCGACATTAAATAACCCCAAAATATTGTTAAAATAACGTTAAAATAAAGGAACGTTTAATACTATACGAACTCGTACAAGTATGTTTTGGTATTATTTCTTATTTTAAATTAGCGAAAATATTAATTCTGCTACTATCAGATTTCAGACATTACATACGTATTACCTGATAGCGCACATTGTTATTATTTAGACATTTTGTGTAAGCAAAATATCATTTAATTTAAGTCGTTATTTATTAATCATAAAGAAGTGAAACCTGGCCAGTTTTTAGCACACAAATCAAGGCTACATTTTATGGTGGGCCAGCTAAAAATATTACTGAAGACTTGTATGTACAATCGAGGGATGGTATCTGGGAGGTGGTTCTTGGTCTTCAGGCATCAAATATATTTATATACAGTAAATTTGGCTTGCTAACATCTTCAAACGACACAAGCTAAATTTCCTGTGTTGCCTGCTAATCCAACACATTTCAATTATTTTTCATCTGTTCATGAAATTTGCTAAGTGCTTGTATGTCACTAAGATAAATGTTTTACAAGATCATTTCATCGGATCATTAAACGCTAAACTAATTGTAAGAACTTAGGTCCGGTGATGAAGTATTTAATATACAATCTCCTGTTTATAATACCAGAGTGTTAGATGGAATATGATATTTAGATTAGTTTGATAAATGTATCTTCAGGGTGGGATTTATATTTTGGGTTCTACGTTTTTGAATAAGAAAGCTTCCTCATGATGGTTCAAAAATTGCAGTTATCCTGTATGCTATTTATGATACATTACAATTATTGTTCCCTTATTGAAGGTAGGACCACTTAAAGTGGAAGATTGGGGCTACCTAAGACAGCCAGTAGGAATAGAGCTTCAAACAGCGGTAGTACAGGAAATTAAGCCCACTACTTGGAGGCTCGGGAAAGGTATGAATCATCTTCTCTCCCCAGCTAGACCGGGTTCTATAGCCTTGGGTGGTAACTGGTCTACCGTAGAAAGAAATAGCAACCTATTGCGGAAAAGTCTGCCTCGTCAGTCATGTATCGAAAGATACATGATCGCCTAAGCGTGTATCATACATGGCACATAACTGACTGACCTGGAGGCTCTGGACTTGTAGATAATTTAACAGTATTGTCAATCTTAATACAAATTATACCATAAACAATCAATTTTTTTGTAAAATCTTCCGTGAACAAACGCTTGAAACTATCAACAATATCATTTTGAGAAAAGGCTTGTCTATCGAATTTTCTAGCTTTTAGAGAAATAATTTTTATAGTGTGTCTTATGAGCCGACAATGTACCGTATAGCTAAGCTCTCTTCGTTCGTTTTAAAATGTTTCATCAGTGTTGGCGTTCGAGAAATAGCTTGATATCATTAAAGTTCAAATTGAACTTGGGAAAATGTCTGACTGTTTACGTCAAGTTTGATAGCCTGGCGTTTATCGTCAACGATTAGAGTTTAATGGAAATCTTTCAAAATCATAAACTTTTCCAATAAAATATGCGTCTTTTACACTCAAAGGGAAAATTATTTTAAAATTGTGAAATTATAAAAGAAATAGAAGTATTAAATAATTGAAAAAAGTAAATTCGAAAGGGAAATGATAGGAGAGAAAACAAGAAATAGCGAGCTGCAATGGATATACATAGATATGGGGGAGAGAGAGAAAGAGATAGAAAGAAAGAAGACTAAAATACATATGAATCCAAATGCGCGCACGCACACACACATACATGGAAAGAGAGTGAGATGTTAAATATATTGGCAGAAACAGAATGAGAAAGACAGGATGAAAGAAGCAGATTAAAATGTCCATGTAATAAATTAGAACAGACTTTGATAGAAAAAGTGATTTGAGCAGACTCAGATATAGATAGATAGATAGATAGATAGATAGATAGATAGATAGATAGATAGATAGATAGATAAATTCATTGAATAAAAAGACTCAGATAGATAGATAGATAGATAGATAGATAGATAGATAGATAGATAGATAAATTCATTGAATAAAAAGACTCGGATAGATAGATAGATAGATAGATAGATAGATAGATAGATTCATTGAATAAAAAGACTCGGATAGATAGATAGATAGATTCATTGAATAAAAAGACTCGGATAGATAGATAGATAGATAGATAGATAGATAGATAGATAGATAGATAGATTAGTTGGTGGTTATGAATATATAGAAACAAATAAAATTAAACGTTCAACTTATCTTGAACAGGGTTCACGGGTATAGAATGTACTCATCAGGAGGCAAGATACTAAAATTGAACTGAATCAGAAAAATAATACTTTCTTGGATGTCAAATTAAAAGGGTGATTAACGGGTCTTGGGATCAGCTTAATTTTGTTCTTTCTTAAAGACAATGTTATATGATGTAATCGAATTTGAAATTGCTTTTCGGCGAGACACAGTTTTTGTTACACATACAGGCAAACTGTATATTATAGAGGAAGGGTGCATAATATCGGAAACATTGTTTATATATAGAGAGAGAGTGGATATAGGGAACAACTCTCTCTCTCTCTCTCTCTCCCTCTCTCTCTCTCTAGCTCCCTTTCACACACTCTCTCTCCATATATATTCAAACATTATTTTTTAATTTTTATCTTAGTGGATACCCTTGTTTGAAATAGACGCACTGTTTTCAGGCCGACAGACGTAATACATACTGTTTAAATTTAAAATTGGGTGTCTATTTCAAATATAGGCATACATCGAAAAAAATAACGTTTCACGTAATAAAAATATTGGATTAAAAATAAATCTATTAATTATATATGTATATACATATATTCTATATGTACAGTACTAATATCCATACAACTGAATATATATATATATATATATATATATATATATATATATATATATATATATATATATTTTAAACACACACTCAGATTTACCTGACACTATTAGGAACATACTAGTAGAAAACACAAATATATTAACTGCATCCACTTGCAAAAAAGACTAAAAATAATGGAAGCTCTAATAATAAAAAAGAAAAAGCCAACTCTTAACAATATTAACTATGAACAAAGCCACAATGTGCTAATCGTATTCGGAAATTAAAAACATCACTACCACACACTGAACATACACAGAACACACACACTCTACTAAGCTGATAATCGAATCATCATTGATAATGGCTAAAGGTATAGCCGAAAGCGCTCGGAAATACAAAACATTCGGACAGTTCTTACACACCCTTTGTCCAGAAAAGAAAGCTCTTGTCAGAACAAGAAAAATTAAATAAAAAGCTCAACCGTAGTACCTTGTCTGTCGTTTTTAATGAAACATGCATAAAGGAAGGATTGCTGCCTAAATATACAAATATATATATATATATATATATATATATAATAGTAAGACTAACAAAGATTATGTTTTCGCTATAAATCGCGACCAGTGTATTACATTACTGGAGGATAATGCATTTAAGGCAATTGACCCTTGTAAATAAAGCGTCCAATATCAAGAAATAGAACATTAATAGTAAACAAATTAATAGTTCAAAAGCTTCTCTTCTGAATTCCACATTCTTTATTTAATAATCTAGCACATGATGAACGGATACATTTCTATAAATATCAGAGTAGGGAGATAAGATTTTGAACGCTAATTTTAATTTAATTATATATATATATATATATATATATATATATATATATATATATATATATATATATATATATTACATTACATTCACTTACGTGCTAATACCCTTGGCAAAGGTATTAATTTTCTTCTCCCTCCAGCTATGGGTAAATAGCAGGGCAGACTGGGTTCTATAGCCTTGGATGGCAATTGGTCTAGGAGAAGGATAACTCTGGATTTAAAACCCGCGGAGGGTCGTTTGAGGATCTTGTGGCACGTAGTACACCAGGTCTCTGTATTCGGTCCTTCGAAAAGTATGGATGGTACTGCACAAAACCTTCACCCTTATAATCAAATGTCATGTGCTGGTGTCGGGCTGTCGGTTCCTAGGAACTGATCTGCTTGACCCTCATACGTCGACTATATATATATATATATATATATATATATGCAGTAAAATCTTTGTCACTTAGTTGGAATTACAGCGTCCACTCGTCAGGGGAT